TTCCTCATGTTCTCAGAAGACAGCAAGTACAATGAAGAGGAGGAAGAGACGGGTGGATATTAGAGATAAAGAGGGACTGAGAGAGATTATTCATTTCTCCCACTCTGGTTGAACAGAATACAGAATATTATATCATTGAGGGTAGTTCTGTGTTGACCCAGAACATTCTGGTTTACCAACTTCAAATTAAGATGCTGGGGTCATGAGGTACAGAGTTATGGATGGGGTGAGATGGGAGGCTTCATGGTGAGGCTGAAAGAACATCAACATCAGACACCTGGGTGCAAATCCTGGCTTTCCTAATTTTTCTTTTTTAAACTGTGTGACTGAGAACTATTAAGTACTCTGAGCCTCCATTCCCACTTTTATAAGTGAGGAATACTCATAATACCTACTCATATTTTGGTTGGAGTATGGACCCTGAGAGATAGAGGCTAGGGCAAGCCTGAGGACAACAGGCACTGGTGCTTTTGACTTGTAAGGGTCAAGTTTATAGATGGAATTTTTGAGAACAGGTCCATAGAGGAGAGGAGGGCTGATTGAACTAGCCCAAGAAGGAGGAGGCTTTGAGATTAAGGGAACATGGAGAAAAAAGAGGACTGTCAAGAGAGAAGAATTTGGGGGATATAGAGATGCATTTTTTAAAAGAGTGTTATGTTTAAGAAGTTTGTTAAGTAACACTTCCCTCTGTTTGCTCCCTAAAATATGTGAAACACACAAACAACTCCCCCCCCTCAAAAAAAACTTACATTTTTTTCCCCAAAAATTTGAAGATGGAATTCTAGTTTTTTGTTGGGTGGAAGGAATGTAGCCACATATTGAAATTGGGTTCACAGAAAAGACAGAGAGACCCATGGAGGCTGAGATACACTGTGGTCACATATAAGATAAGTCATGAAAGTACCTAGCAAAAAATCATTTTGGGGGAGAAGAAGTTCAAATAGTTTAAATGCTTTATAAAGAGTCACTTTACTAGTGACCCTGGTTTAATATTTTTTTCTCTCTAAACACATCACCTCTTGATTTATGCTAAGGATGTGAATCAGTAGGTGACATGCATGGGGAATAAACTGTGCATTTGTAAGCCTGCAAATGTTCTGAGGTGACTTTTTGTTTTAGGAAAACATACACAACAGAAGTAGGTGGCAACTTCATGGTCTTATTTGTTGTTCATGACATTATTTGCCCCGAAGTGCAGCTTACCAGGCTGCAACTGACTTGTTATTTCCCAGGCCTTCATCAGTTGGATCATTTCAGTTCTAAAGTCTGTATCTGTGAGCCTTGTCTAGGAGCTGCTGCTCGCTCTATCGTATGGCAGCTCCACGCCTCTATAATTTTGTTCCTTTTTAATACGATGTGCAATCAAGTATAATGCATGGGATATAAGCCTCAATTATTGTCAGTGTACTTAGGGACTCATACCAATTATAGTGATATTTCTCTGACAGGCTCCAGGCGAGCTGCAGCTTGGAGTTCTTCAACACAGAGAAACAAAGATATTTTCTTTATGGGAGGTTTACTAGTAGCATTTGAAATTCTTTAGTTTAAAACTGTCCTGGCTTTTTTCATTTAGATGTAGTAATTTTGTGCTTTATAGGAAGACATGTATTTAATCTGTACTGTTATAATTTAATATACTTTAGAACATACAAATTATAGTGAACCTTGTTTCCTTACAACTCAGCTAGGTGGAGGAGATGTTTCACAGCAGACCTATCCAGCAAAAATACTAGCCTTTGTTACCTTCTTTGACTGCTACTTAGCTCTCTTCACTACAAATCTCCTCCTCTTTCCAACTCATTCTTCAATTATTAACTTTCTGTCATTTCTTGATTTCTCCTTTCATCATCTTTAAGAGTTAATTCAAAATGGTTTTACTCTTTTTGAAACTTTCTACAAATATAAGAAAAAGCACCCCTATCTGACCTAATTTCTACCAATTTCCTTTGCCTTCCAACTCCAGAGTGACAGTTTTGGCCTCTTCAATGTTCCCTCCCCACACCTGAAGACAGAACATTGCTCTTTAACTTGTGCTGTTTTATTTGAATGCAACCCACTTCCTCCCTCTGAGCAAATGAGTCATTTTTTCTTTTTAAAGCAAGCCTTTAAAAATCTTCCATTTCTCTTCGGTTTAAAATTATTCTTTTTGTGAAGTACTTTATGAAGGTTGCTTTAGGCACTCAAGGATTATACTACTGACAATGTACAACATACCAAGAGTTTAAAATGTCAGATTAGATGGACAACACTTATCCTTCTTCTTCTTTTTATTATTCTTTATGGAGGCAAATGTTTACAATTTTGTTTTATTTTGTTTTGCAGTACTGAGGATTGAACCCAGGAGTTCACATGTGCTAGGCAAGCAAGCTGTACCACTGAGCTACTTTCCAGATTTTTAAATTTTCTTTTTGAGGCAGGGTTTTTGCAAAGTTGCACAGTCCTTGAACTTGCGATCCTCCTGTCTCAACCTCCCAAGTAACCAGAATTAAAGTGTGTACCTCTAGGCCTGTCTAAGGGGTTTTGTCTCTTGGTTCACTAGTGAATTATTTCCCAGAATCTCAATTACATAGATTTTCAATAAATATATGTTGAATTAAAAAATGATTGATTTTATCCTCCTCAATCTTTTCTTTTTGTGTGCTAAGGATTGAACAAAGGTCTCCCTAAGCATGCACTGTACCACTGAGCTAGAACCTCAGTTCCCTTCCTCATCTCTTTTAACTTTCTTAATAACATTTGTATAGTTAATAATTATCATGTTGAAATATCTTGTAATTAAGTAGAAAATACTCATAAAAGGTATTGAAAATGAGAAATGTATTAAACTGCAGAAGATGCAACAATACTTTTTAGAAAAAGCCTAAAAAGAGACATTCATCTCAGTACAATTTATAGAATTTACATTAGCATATCAAATATCTTCTAATATATACATCTGATACTATGTAATAGGTTGCCTTGGTTTCAAAGTAATACAACTTTGTATTGCAACCATCAAAACAATAACTGATTTAGGCATGAGATACTAAAATAAATGGTGAAAGCTATTGCAGAAGAAGATATTTACAAAGCTTCAGATTCTCACCCAATAAATTACTTTTTATGAAAAGAAATTTTTGTCTTTTACACTGAAGAAATCTCATGAATTCCATCTTAATCACATGATCAAACATCCTAAAAATGTCACGAACTGCCATCATGTGCCTCCTGACATGATATACTGAGAAGGTAGGTGTATCACTTATAGAGTTTTTCTGCCCAAAGTGTTTAACATTTCACTTATTTATTTATGTATTTATTTATTGTAGTGCTGGGGATCAAACCAAGAGCTTGATGCATGCTACCACTAAGTTACATCCCCAGTCTTAGCATTTTAAATAACAACAAAAAAAATCAACTCCAAATTGAGGATGTTGCAGAATTGCTCTTAAAAAATGTCAGTGCCATAAAAATTGAACAAAGGTTGAGAAGCTGTTCTGACTAAAGAAGACTAAAGAGATATGACAACTACATGCAATACATGATCTTCAACTGATCCTAAACTGAAGGTAAAAAAACAAAACAAACTCCTTTAAAATGGTTTACATACAAACAACTATAAAGAACATTATTATAATATCTGGAGACAACTGTAATATATATTATCTTTGTTGTTGTTGTTGTTGGGGATTAAACCAAGGGGCACTTTACCACAGGGCTACATCTCCAGACCTTTTTATTTTGAGACAGGGTCTTGCTAAGTTGCAGAGGCTGCCCTTGAATCTGCAATCCTCCTGCCTCAGCCTCCCAAGTTGCTGGGATTACAGACAGGCATCCTCGTACCCAGCAAGACACTGTATATTAGATAACACTACTATGCCAATCTTAAATATCCTGATTATGATAATTATATTGTAGTTATGTAAGTGAATATTCTTGTTCTTAGAAGAGATAGACTAGTTCTAAGAGGTAAAGATTAATGGTGTCTGCAAATAATTCTCAATGATCAGAGGAAATAAAGTAACTCCTTACAATCATTCACACATCAAAATAATAATACATATGTATGTGCATGTGTATGTATGAGTATGTTTGTGTGTATGGACAAAGAGATTTTATAGATACATACATACCAACACATACACATACACAAAGGAGAAAAAATGAGATAAAATGTTAATTGATGAACCTGGTACATTGTATACATATATATGCGCGCGCGCGCACACACACACACACACACACACACACACACATATCTTGCACCTTTCCTCCAGTTAAAAAATTTCTAAAGAAAATGTTCTTTAAAATCATTTAATATCACAAATTTAGGGTTATTTTGACTGCCTATTCAGATCCATAATGCTCAAAATTTTGGATAGTGACAACAAACTTTTCTTTATATTTTCTGCTTTTACTATCCTATTTGATTTTTCCTTATCCTTCTGTTCCCTGTCATCTTCCACACAGAGCCATTAGTAGTTCTGTTATGTGCATAAATACTTCAACAAATTCACTCATGTAGACTGAAATTGTTTCTCGAAGCAGGCCACAAATTCACTCATATAGACTGAAATTGTTTCTCGAAGCAGGAGGCTTCTCTCTAGGGCCTTTTAAAAAGATATCTCATGAATATCCTGAAGGAAGCCTGCTTTTTAGTTTTTAGGCTAACAATTTATCAAGGTAATAGAAACCATTTGTGTATCTGGAATAAAAGCTTTTATTTCCCTAGTATTTTTTTTTCTTATTGTCTTTCATTTCGCCTTTAGTCATAGATCAAAGTGTAGCCTGCAGTACTGCTAAATAAACTCTTGCTTTAGTTTATAAAGAATTAGAGAAAAACAAGATTCCAGATAACACATAATATTTGCAATTATTAAATACTATGCATTCTGCAGTAAAGTGACTTGTGATATATTTGTACTCACATCAAGGGTAATTATTTTGAAATTATTTTATTCTACACTCTAAACCTCTTGATATTAACCTGTAAAGTACAAAAGCAGAATATTGGGGCTTACGTCATAGTTGCTCCTGGATCAGCAGTCATTTGATTGGTCACAAAAATAGCCACATTATATTCTGCACAAAGAAATTAAATTAAGAAACTTAGAGAAGGATAATAAGAAGATTAAAAGTTCATCATTTAGGTTTCAGAGCTTAGGAATATTATACATGAATTTATTTTATAAACAAGATCATATTCCCATTTTTCATTGATAACAGAAATTATTTTATTTAAAGTTATTATTTTATTATCAAAGTCAGAATCAATATTTTAATTTTAAGAGTTGTATTTCTTTCTCTTTCTTTTTTTTTTTTTTTGTGTGTGTGGTGCTGGGGAATTGAACCCAGGGCCTAGTGAATGCAAGGCAAGCACTCTACCAGCTGAGCTATACCCCAGCCCATGAGTTGTATTTCTTTAAAAAAATTTTTTTTCCTTTTTTTATTTATTAAAGAGTTGTATTTCCATGATGGTAAAAAATATTACCTCCTGACATTATTCTGAGCTTCTCTGCAAAACATATAGTAATTTGGATAGTGCCATTTTATTTTAAAGATCTACCTTCTTAGAGCTGGGGTTGTGGCTCAGCAATAGAGAGCTTGCCTAGCACATGCAAGGCCCTGAGTTCGATCCTCAGCACCACATAAAAATAAACAAATAAAATAAAGGTATTGTGTCCAACTACAACTAAAAAATAAATATTAAAAAAAAAAGATTTACCTTCTGAGATTTTTTGGAGTCGTGACAACATCTGGGCCAATTTTTGTTGTCGTTCAGCCAACTCTCCACGACCACTGAAATCCACTCGAAAAAGTGCCATTATTGAATCAATGATCTGCACAGGATTAATGTAAAATAAATATACATTCAAAAATAGAAGTAATAAGTCCATTAAAATATAGGAATTAATAGAAAAACATGGTAAATAGCTCTGTGAGTGAGCAATATTTAAAAGCTTGTACCAGTAGCTTGAAGATGCCAGCTTCTTCATGGAACTTTGCTGCTACATAATCAAGTAGCTCCATCTGATGTTCACCTAATGGAAAATGCAGTGAGAAAATGTTAGAAAAGGTAGGAGCAGCACACGCTAAGATCATTCGTGTCCCTGGGAACCAGGCAACAAAGAGTCCTTGAAGGATTCTCTTAATTATTTATGACTTTACTAAACATGATTGCATATCCTGCCTTAGCATGCATGGCAATTGCTACTTTATCCAAAAAGAATGTTGCTCTGGGGGCTGGGGGCAGAGCTCAGTGGTAGAGCTCATACCTCACATATTTGCATGAGGTCCTGGATTCAATACCCAGCAACACACACACACACACACACACACACACACACACCCCTCTGTATTTCAAAGACAAAGAATAAGAAATTATTTGAGGGCATTTTAGTAACTGAGGACTTAGCAGATGATAAAATTGTGGGAAAACTAATTTGAAGAAAAGTTAATAAAACAAGGAAAAACAGTCCAAATTTTGTGTCACTCAATTGTAAATCAGTGCTGTCAACTTTTTTAAAATTTTAAAAAAGAATGATATGTATTTAAAAGTATTAAACTATAAAATTTATCCCTAGAAACTCTATTTTAGTGGATAATTTTAAATCACAGATTTTTAAAAATATTTACGTTTTAGTTATTTTATTTGTTAATTTTTACGTAAGTTGACACAATATCTTTATTTTATTTTTATTTGTGGTGCTGAGGATCAAATCCAGTGCCTCACGCATGCTAGGCAAGCACTCTACCTCTGAGTTACAACCCCAGCCCCAATCCCAGACATTTTTTACCAGAAATAATGATTGTATTAATGATCTGTTGTTACATTACAGTTTACCACAAATTTAGCAGATTAAAACAAAACACATTTATTGTTTCACAATTTCTATGGGCCAGGAATCAGGGCATGACTCAACCAGGGCCTCTGAGTCCTGCCAACTTATAATAATCCAAACATCCAATTGCAGGGGCTCTTACTGGTATATGCACGCGCATACAGCACATTGTCCAGTACTGCATCATGGTCTACATTGAAGCGATCAGCAATGTCCCGAAGGCGATCCGGACGGCTGGAGTTTGCCATGATTAAGGATCCAATAAATCAATTCCAAAAAAAAGTACACAACAACTACAAAATATAACACCTTAAATAAGTAAAGTAACGGAGCCAAAACTGTGTACATGCAAAAGTATTCTGAAGGATCCTAGTAACCACTTAAATTCTGTACCAGATTTTATTTTTCACAAGTGCCTGAATTTACCTTATATAGTGTGATAACCATCATAGAAATGGTGAGGAGGTGGGGCTTGGACTGTAGCTCAGTGGCAGAGCACTTGCCTAGCATGTGTGAGGCACTGGTTCAATCCTAAACTCCACATATAAAATAAATTAATAAACAAAGATATCTACAACTAAAAAATATTTTTAAAAAGAACCTAATACCTCATCCAACTACTGTATTTCTTCTTTCATCCACTGGGCAATTACATGTGCCTCACTCCCTTAGTATTTATTTGCAAGAAGCTTCCATCACCTCACCCTACTGTAACCTAACCCTTGAACTCGCGATGACCAATATCAGTGATGTTTTTCAGTTTACAGTCTATATTTCCAAAACCTCTCTCTCCCTCTCTGTATACTATTATTGATTATTCTCTTCTTGAAATTTTCCTTTGCTTGGCTTCAACAACCAGATTGCCTCTTACTCCTCTACCTCTGTAAGTTCCTCATTTTAGCCACACCTCAAAGTTGTGTTCTTAATTCTCTTCCCTCTTCCAAGTTCTCTTCCTGCTTTGGTTAATTAATCTATATTTCTGGTCCCACCCTTCCTCAAGCTGAGTTCAGTACTTCCAACTGCCATTTGTATATCCTCCTGTACCTCACATTAAGCTCATTAAGATGAAACATCAGGGCTGGCTCAGTGGTAGAGCACTTGCCTGGTACGCGTGAGGCACTGGATTTGATTCTCAGCACCACATATAAATAAATTAATTAAATAAAGGTCAATTCACAAATAAAAATATTTTAAAAAATGGAACATCACTTTTCTCTGAAACATAATCTTCCCAATTCTATTGTTAGCCTCATTATTCTCCCAATATCTAAACAAAATCCCTGCGAGTAGTTTCTCAAAACTTTTTTATCCAAAAATGCAATCATTAAATCCTGTCATTTTCCTTCTGTTTCTTGTCCTTTTCTTTTTCTCTCTTTTTTTCTTTTTGTCACTCTTCCACTTAGATCAATTTCTCATTACTTGCCTAGATTTTTGCAAAAGTATGCAATTTATGCCCTCAGTGTGGTTTCCAAGCCTTTTGTGGCTAACCTTTCCAGCCTCACCTTGTATTCTGGACTACTTCACACTTCTATTAAGCTGAAGTTCTTTCTGTGACTCAAACAGCTTCAGCCCTTCTTCCTTTTGTGTTCTTTCTCTCCATATTTCCCCTTTGAGGCCATAGTTTGAATGAATTAATAATCCTTCTATCTTCTATGAGCAAATTTCTTTGGAGAAGAGGATTAAAAAGATATAATTCCCTCCCCCCTCTCATTGTAGTTGAACACAATACCTTTATTTTAAATATTTATTTTTATGTGGTGCTAAGGATAGAACTCAGCACTTTGCACGTGCTATATGAATGCTCTACCACTTTTTTTTTTGTCAGTTTTACACCAATCCCATGTGGAAAATGAAAATCTAACTAAAAATTGATTTGAGAAGTTGACCAGTAATTGTTTTTCCCTTTGGCTTTTCTCATTATTGCTGGTTTATGGAATGATTACGAAAATTACATATTTCAAACAAACTCTCTGTTAGTCACATTACTATATCATATTGTGTTAGCATCTTGTTTAAATAAAAGGGTTACAAAGTATTTTCTGTATCAATGAAGATAATTTTTCCTCCTGAGTAGCCACCTGCTCCTGGAAGTTGAGCCGTCACTAGGGGGCAATTTAAAAAGTCAATATTAATAGGAGTAAATAAACTTTGTACTAATGAATGTATAAATACACATTGAATTTATGCTGGTTGCAATTCTTTAGTAAATTTGATAAAGAAAAAAATGATCCTTTTTTTAATAATTTTATTTTTAGCACAAAATTTTTTTTTAAAGAGAGAGAATTTTAATATTTATTTTTTAGTTTTTGGCGCACACAACGTCTTTGTTTGTATGTGGTGCTGAGGATAGAACCCGGGCCGCATGCATGCCAGGCGAGCGCTCTACCGCTTGAGCCACATCCCCAGCCCAAAAAATGATCCTTTCCAGGTGCAGTGGCGCACGCCTGGAGCCTGGAATCCCAGTGGCTGGGGAGGTTGAGGCAGGAGATTTAAAAGCCAGCCTCAGCAACAGCAAGGCACTAACCAACTCAGTGAGACCCTGTTTCTAAATAAAATACAAAATAGGGCTGGGGATGTGGCTCAGTGGCCTAGTGCTCCTGAGTTCAAACCCTAGTACCCCCTCCCAAAAAAACCAAAAAAAAGATCCTTTAGTTTCTAAAAAGTATGCGGTATTTTTCATTTTATTAATCAGTGGTGAAATAATAAGTATTCTGTGGGATAAATTAATTCAATAAAGAATTTCAACATTTTTCACTATGGAAAATACTCATGCAATTTAGTTGTTCCAAAGAAATGGAAGTAGAATTCAAATATTTTTTTTTGGAGCGGGAGGGCAATATTAGAGTTTGAACCTAAGGGCTTCCTCACAAATGCTAGGCAAGAACTCTACCATTGAGCTATATCCCCAGTCATTTTTAAATTTAACTTTGGGACAGGATCTGGCTAAATTGCTCAGACTGCTCCTGAACTTGCAATTCTCCTGTCTTAACCTCCCTAGTAGCTGGGATTATAAGCATGCACCAATGCATCTGGCTACTAATTTTCTTTTTTATAAGAAATAATGACAAATATAATTTATGCTCTATAACTCATTTAAGTTACTTTCAATTAATGTATGACAAAAATTTAAGATGATTTTTTTTTTCACACTGCAATAATTAACACTAGCGAGTTACTTTGTACCAGGTATGTGCATTATTTCATTTTAAAATAAATGAAATTTATTTATTTCTTTTTAAAGATTTGGCACTATCATTATTTCTATTTTACTGATGAGGAAAATTAGAGAGGCAAAGCAATTTGCCCAAGGTCACACAGGTATTAATGGTAAAGCCAACACTGGAGTCAGACATTTTGATTCCAGTTTTTGCTATGTAAGTCAAAGAAATGCAAAGTAGTGTCTTTGTGAAATATTTTGCTTATTTTGTCTTAGGAAAATTGTTTTTAAGTATCTCTTAGGGCCAACCTTGCTTCACAGAAAGTAAAGGATTCTAGATGTCAACAGATTTTGTGTTATTTTATAAAATGACATAGAAAAGCTGGAATGGGGAAATTGAGACAGTGGATGCCTCTCCTTTCCAAAACATTCATATACCAATTTGCCTTTTTTTAAATTTCCATTCAGGTATTCCTGGTGCAGTATCTCAAGCATTTCATATTCAAAAACCAGCTCTGGTATCTGGGCAACTGTAGGCAGTTGACTTGATCTCTCTGAGCTTCAATTTTCTTACAAATTTGTTCAGATTATAAGATTATGTAAAGTGTCAGGAACACAGTAAATGCTGAATAATTGAATGCTATGATTATTACTGCGATTATGTTGTTGTCATGTGTCCTTACCACAAAGGGTATGAGAGAGCTGAGTTTTTCCAGTACGAAATTCTGTGAAATATAGAAATGGTAGTAAAAACATGCAGAGTTAGTTTTTAGATATTTTCATTAAAAAATCAAACACAGACTCAAGATATTATTGTTCTTTTTCCCAACTGTCAAATCTCACTCCAAAAGTACCTCTTGTGGTCTGGGGTTGTGGCTCAGTGGTAGAATGCTCACCTAGCATGTGAGGCCCTGGGTTTGATCCTCAGCACCACATAAAAATAAATAAAATAAAGGTATTGTGTCCATCTACAACTAAAAAAAAAACATGAAAAAATACCTCTTGTATCAATTCATACATGGATTCTGCGCATATGAATACCAACAGTTACAAAAATAAGTTTTTTTCCCACAGAACTGTCTTTTAAATAAAAATTAATTTAAATTTAATTTATTCCATTTCCATGGGAATATTTACATAATGAAAGTTTAGGAGCCAAAGGAAAGGAAAGGAAAACCTGGGGTTCTCCCACTGAACTGAAGGAACTGAAGAAATCTCAAACTGGTGGCAACCCCTAGTAACCAGTAGAAGCAAATTCTCTCTATATTCCCTATCTGCCAATTTAGGTCCATTGAACTCTCATAAATTAAAATTAAACAATAAACTTACAAATATCAGTAAATGCAGAATAAGATAAGCCACTAGGCCTGGGTCAATAGAAATAACGAAAACCAGATTTGGTTCCCCAAGTCAACAAAAACAACAAAACGGATTTAGTTCCTCAAGGACAGCAAATACTGAATTATCAAACATGGTATATAATGTGCTATGCATGAACTGTCTTTAAAAATGAGAGAATATAATCAGGGAAGAGAGAAACAAATCTCTTTGTTCATGGAACATGCATTGCCTAGATGTAAGATCAACCTCATTATTCAATTATCTTTTGAAGGAATAAGAGAAAAAAATTTACTCCCTTCTATAGTAATCAGAGATAAAAGGATGAAAAATATCAATAAGAACCATCTGTTTTTTAAAAAAATTTATTTTTTAGTTTTAAGTGGACACAATATCTCTATTTTATTTTTATGTGGTGCTGAGAATCGAACCCAGTGCCTCACGCATGCTAGGCAAGCGCACTACCATTTGAGCCACATCCCCAGCCCCAAGAACCATCTGTTAATGGATGGATTTGCAGCCCAAAATGATCTTGTATTATAATTGAGATTTCATAATGTTACAAAATAGGAAATTATTTGTCTATTTGTTGTTTAATTATCATTATTTTAAAAATATGTTTTTATTTTATTTTATTTACTTATTTATATGTGGTACTGAGTAATCAAACCCAGTACCTCACACAACCTAGGCAAGTGTTCCACTACTGAGTGAGCCACAACCCAGCCCCTGTTGTTTGTTTAATTATATGTGTGTATACAAAGATATGCATAAATATATATTTCATATAACAAAATATTAAGGTTCCACCTACCTCCAAAAGCTTCTGTGATTGCCATGCTTTCAATTCCACCTCCTAGCAACTTACTGGAAATAGAAAGAAAGCATTAGTAATAGGCATAGAAATAGGGATTTCAAGAAAGGAGAAGGAATTTGTATATTAGTTACCTGCCATCCATCCATCTATCTCACCCATCTATTTTTATAAACATGCACAGGAATTCTAGTCTGAACAAATGGCACTCTACCTGTTTAGTTCATAGGTTCAATATTGTGTATGGGCAGGTGGATCAACAAAGCAACTTATAAGCCCTGCTATTCTTACTTCTAGATACCAAAAGTAAATAAGTAAGTAAGGTCATTTTTTTTTTTTTTTTTTTGCATATGGGATTGAACACAGGAGCACTTAACCACTGAGCCCCAATCCCAATTTATTTTATTTTTTTTATTTTGTGACAAGGTCTTGCCAAGTTGCCCATGCTGGCTTATAATAATTTGTAATCCTTCTGCCTCAGCCTCCTGAGTGGCTGCGATTACAGGCACTCCACTATTCTTTTAAATTGAATTGCAATTAAAATGTAGGGTCTTTGTTATTGTTTTACAGTGCTGGGGTTTGAACACAGCCAGGGTCTTGTGCATTGTAGGGAAGTGTTCTGCCACTGAGCTACATCCCCAGCCCAATGATCTTAGTTATTAATTGGGTTTTTCAAATTGTGCAGGGACGATGTTTCTAAAAGTCAACTGAATATTCAATTTTTTAATACAATGAGAAACACAAAAAGAAATCTCCGGGCATGGTGGCCCACGCCTGCAATCCCAGCAGCTCAGGAGGCTGAGACAAGAGGCCATGAGTTTAAAACCAGCCTCAGTAATGGTGAGGTGCTAAGCAACTTAGTGAGACCCTGTCTCTAAATAAAATATAAAAAAATAGGTCTAGGGATGTGGCTCAGCTGTTGAGTACCCCTGAGTTCAAACCCTGGTACCAAAAAAAAAAGAAACACAAAAAGCAGATATTAGGAGAATCCAGAGATTGTCATCATATTTGGCTTATTTCACATAAACCAAATTTTAAGGACAACATGTCAGAATAGAAAATGCTTAAAGATGTTATAGGTAATATTAGCAGTCAGAAGAATAATTGCCAGGTTTTGATAGCATATATTTATTTGGTAACCCAATGTTTTAGGCATTTAATGTTCTTGATATGAAAAGAACTAAATTTAGTTATGATTTTATTCATTCATCAAATACAACAAACATTGTATTAACTGTGTTAATACCTGGTAGGAACACTTAAAAAACCTTTGTAGTTTCTATTAGCAAGTCTTTGGAGATATGATCACTGATCAGACAAAGCCTTAGGAGTTATGGATGTAGTTTGGGAATTTGGGAATAATAGAGAATTTACTAGTTTAAGAGAGCAATTTAAATGTAAATTGAAGCAATGTTGGAAGTTACAAACAAACTTAGTGAGGGATACAGACTTCAATGAAGAACACAAAAATCTAGATACTGACCTGTGTAGCTTGAATCTAAAGGACATGTAAGCTGAGCAATCACCCCATTTGGAGGCTTTGCCCTTGGAGATGTAACAGGTCAGGCAACTACTAAAAGAGAGCTTTACTTGCCTCTCCTCATCTTGTAAAAAAATCACCCTGAAAGGCTATAGCTCTGAAAAATACCAGACACAATTTCTGGTTAATATGTAATACAATCAGGCTGCAAAGGTAACTCCAAAATTTGTTTAGGAGTGTACCCCAGATTATTTGGGGTAATATAATTATTTCATTTGTGAAACTCAGGAAAATACAGAATTAGATGTAGAAATAATGTTTTATATCTAAGAAGATTTTAAAATAGAGATAAAACTTAAAACCCACAACTTACTATTTTCACAGTAATTTTCATGATGATTTTATATTTGTTCTTTGAGAACTTTTAAAATGTAAGGAAATTTGATCTTTTTATAATAGCAGAATAGTCTCTGGATAATTAAATGACATAGAGCTATGATTTTTTAAGTTGATATCTAAGTTCATAAACAGTATCTGAACATTTATGAGTGCCAAAGTCCCACTATATTTATAAGTTCATTAGTTTTCAAAAGATATTTAGGTAATTGGGAAGATCTTGCTTGTTAATAATTAGACAAAGTTCTTAAAGGAAATTATGAGAGCTACCAGTACCAAAATGAAGTCACTTATGTCAAACTAACAAAACAGAACCTGACAAGTCCACAGAATAGAAGTTCTCACACATACATGATTCAAACAAGACCTATTAAAAAACATTACTCAGTAGACCAGTAATAGAACTTATTGGGAGAACTTCAAGACTGCAATGTTCTAGATGGAGTGCTTGTACAAGGATACATGCCTAGCAATGGCTGTCTCAGCCAATAAGCTAACACCAACTACAGTTAACAGTCTCCTGTGACTTTTGATCTTTGTAAATTTTGGTTTCTTTTTCTTTCACCCACCCTCCTGGATACACCTGTGGCCTGCCATAGCTTGTGTACTCCAAATTGCAATTCTCTACTATTCCCAAATAAATTCATTTATTTTGGAGCACCTGTCTCTCCATTTATTTTTAGACTGATGAAATACAATATACTAAATGTATAACTTAAATGCTTGAGGAAATTTAGTTAACCATATCATAAAAACCCTCTTAAAATTTACTAGATTTATAAAAGAACTTAAAAGTTTAAGAGAAATTTTAATGAATCAAATATTAATTTTAAAAAACTTAGCTCCCGAGTGATCTTTTCTGTGCCCAAAAGCAAACATCAATGAAGACTCAATATTTATTTATATAGCCCAAAGGTTCATAAGCCACCAGGCAGAGTAACTGGGGAATGTCAGATTGTCACTGAAAATCAAGTTTTATTGATCAACTTGATTTTCAACAATTTGCCTTGGGGCAGGATTTTCCAAAGACTCTTCCATGGGGGTTGGAGAGGAGGTTCTGTGGGGCAGTGCTGGGTTAAAAAGGTGTTTTGTCTTACTGAAGGATTTCACAGATCCTTTATTAAGACAGAAGGCATGGTGAATCTTCAAGAAGAATATATAGTAGATTGGACTTCGTAAACTTATTTTATTCATTATGTGTTTATTTAGTCATTCAACAAATATTTATTGAGAACCACTTTACCTTTGGCGAATAAAGCAAAGAACAAAAAATACTGAAATCCTTTACCTCATGGATCTTACATTCTAGAGGGAGGTCAGAAAATAAAAGTAAAGGGCTGGGGAGATAGCTCAGTGATAGAGTACTTGGCTTAGCATATATGAGGCACCTCAAAAATTTAATTAATTAAGAAACATAAGTAGCATGTCAGACATTATTAAATGGTATGAATAAAAATAAGATGGAGAAATGGGATAAATATTACAGAGTTTAAAGGAGGGGAGCTTACATTTTCAAATAAAGTGATCAGAGAAGGCCTTCTTGAGATGTGACATTTTAGTAAAGACCTGAAAGAGATGACAAGCCACGGAGATATACAAGGACAGAGTATTCCAGGCAGAGGGAACACTGAATGCAAAGGCCCTGATGCAGGTATGTATCTGATACATTCTAGGCAATGCAAACAGGCTAGTGTTTCAGGTACACAGTAAACCAGAAGAATAAAAGATGAGATTTGATTAGGGATTGGGGAAGACTTTGGCTTTTTCTCTAGCTAAAATGGGAAGTCATTGGAGTGTTTTGAGTAGAGTGTCACATTCTGATCTACATTTTAAAAGGATGGAACAGGTGGTGCATGCCTGTAATCCAAGTGGTCTGGGAAACTGAGGCAGGAGGATTGCACTTCAAAGCCATTCTTGACAATTTAGTGAGATCCTATCTCAAAAAAAGATTAAAAAAAAAAAAAGTGCTGGGGATGTTGCCTAGTAGTTAAGCACCCTTGGTTTCAATCCCTGGTACCAAAAAATACATACATAAGTAAAAAGATTATTCTGGTTCTTGTATCAAGCATAAACAGTAGGGGCAAGGTCTGAAAGAAACAGGTTAGTTAGAAGGCAGGATTTGTTAATGGATTATAGGTAGTGTGGGGGGTGGGGGAGAAGATACCAAGAATGACACCAAGATTTTAGGTCTGAAGATCACTAAAAAGATCTCAGATGAGGGACCTGCAGGAGGAGCAGATACAGGGCAAAGAGCAAAAGTTTGGTTTTGGATCTGTGAAGCCTGAGTTGCTCACTGAACATTCAAAATGGAGGTATATTTGACTATGAAATCCTTTTTTCTTGCCCTTTCTTATAAAGCCAGAGTTTTCAGGAATACTTTAATACTGCTTTTGTTGTAATTGCTCCTGAACACTACTCTAACTTAAAGACTAATTCTGCCTAGTAAGGTAGGCAAAGAGCCCATTCTAATCAATTTGCGTGGGTTTGGGAAGATAATATGTCTTAGAAATCATAAAATAGTAACAAAAAGGAATAAAATTATAGGAGTAAGATTAAAATTGTCCCTGCTGAAATGCAAAACCAATCCTGTATTATTCTAAAATATTCAATCGAACAAGTGAGTTTTTTTTTCTTTTTTGGTTACTGGGGATTAAAGCCAGGGTTGCTTTGACACTGAGCTACATCCACAGTCACTGTTGTTGTTGTTGTTATTATTATTATATTTTGAGACAGGGTCTCATTGATTTGCTAATGGTCTCATTAAGTTGCTGAGGCTGGCCTTGAGCTTGTTGTCCTCCTGTCTCAGTCTCCCAAGTGTGGAATTACATGCATATACCACCACATCTGGCTCCTAACAACTGATTTTTTTTTTGAAGGTGTGCTAGGCGAGCGCTCTACCACTGAGCCACAATCCCAGCCCATCCCCATTCCTTTTTATTTTTTATTTTGATACAGGATCTCGCTAAATTTCTCAGAGCCTTGCTAAATTGACAAGGCTGGCTTTGAACTTGTGACTCTCCTGTCACAGCCTCCTGAGCTGCTAGGATTATGGGCATGCACCACTGTGCCTGGCTAACAACTGATTTTTAAGTAAGCTCAAAAGGTGAAATGAAACTTTCTTCATCAGTGGAGAAGGAAAGGAAATGAAAAGCTAAACTGATTTTTTAAAATAGTTTATAGATTAATATAGACTGATTCAGAAATCACTTATATTTTGGGTCTGAATTTCTTGGAATAAATTTAATCCTATTCCTATAAGCAGTCTGCAATTTCTTTGGTTTGTATTTTTTGGGAAAAAAACCCAACAAGCTACTCCAAAAAAAGAAGCTATTTCTACTGATTATAGTAGAAATAACAACCAGATGAAAGAAAAGAAACATGGTATTCCAAAGATTGTACTTGGTGGTTATAAAAAATGTTGAGATACATACTCAAATTCTTGGCTCCCAGTGGTGATATGGAAAACCATCTTCCTCTTCTCACTATACTCAAATGCAGTCAAGAATCCTGGTTCCTACAGAAAGATAAAAAGACAGATTCAAAAAGGGTATAAGATAATGGTTTCAATTTCAAATGCTGGGGGTGCTGTTGCTCAGTGGCAGAGTGCTTGCCTAGCATGTATGAGGCACTGGGTTCAATCCTCAATACCACATAATAAATAAATAAACAAATAAAATAAAGGCATTCTATACAACTACAACAAATTTTTTTTTTAATTTTTCAAATGCTGCTCAAAACTATATGCTCAATTATCAAGGTCATCATTTGGTATGAGCTACAATTCTGACATATTTGAAGGTAGACCAGATCATGGTTAAAAACACTAACTTTGAACCACCCTTCCTAGGTTCAAATTGTATCTCTGGTCCTTACTAGTTATATGATATGGGATAAATTACTTAATATTGCTGTAAATCAATTTTCACTTTTGGGTCAAGTGGCGATAATAATAGTGTCTCATATGATAGCTATGAACATTAAATAAAATATATTCATGGCACAAAGCAGAATGGTATTTTACTGAATGGTTCAGATGATTTCATTCTACATTATCATTTTTTTTCCAGCTCTAGAAGTTTCAAGGAGAACAGAAATACCTGTTTCCATGAATATATGACAACATTTTTCACATGGTAGATTTAGTACATATTTGCTGATTAATGAGCTACAACTTTACAGTGGTGGAGCTGCACAGTGCAGTGGTGAAAGTAGATCCCTGTGTTGTTGAATGTGTTTCCCTTTGTTATTCCATATGGTGATAGTGGTTCTCAAACTTTGAAGAACTTAGGAGATGGAGGAACAAGCCCAGACCTGGCTTTCACTAAGAAAGGATAAGACTTTGGGTGCAGAAAAAGAGGGGTTCTTTTCTTTGATGATGAAATTTAAGTTCCAAAGAAGACTAATATCTAAGAGCTATTAAGTAGTAGTTTCCCAAACTGTTTCCTGGATACCGCTTTAGGGCTTCCTTAGACACGCTGGCAATTATGGAATTGAACTGTGGATATACTGCCAAAGTGGACCTGAAGCTACAGCAACTGGGAGGGTTCAGAGTTCAGCTGGGTCTTCTCCAAGTTAAGGACCACAATGCCACTTGCATCTCTCTTCAGTCCTGACTGTCTCCGAAGAAGGAAACCAAATGACTGTTGGTAAAGAGAACTTCTGGACTTGACTGGATTGAGACCCACACATACAAATGGAGAGGCTTGATCTTCTGCAGAAAGGGACACTTGGTGACTACTTTTGGTACATTCCTAGTTCCAGAGCTGGTACCCCTAGTGGTCCCTAAGGGCTCTACAAAAAAGCTTGGGTCAAAGGCATATATGCTTTTGCCTGACAGCTCATAGGCCACTCACAGTCCATGGGCCCAGTTGGAGAGTATGGGTACTTGAGCATCATCAGTGGCATCATCATGGTCATTTCTATCAGTCACACACATGTAGAACTAATCACTGCTAGCCTTTTGCTCACCAATGTGCTCTTATCAACTGGCCTATTATACCAGAAGAGGATTACTGCTTTGATACTGAGTGCTTTGCAACAGCCTTAGGTATGTTTCAGAAGACAAGATAAAAGTAAGAAGGAGGTTGTAAAAAAATAAATGAGAGAAAGAAAGGCAGCGAAACAGAAAGTCAAAAGTAGCATAAAGGGAGACAAAAAGGAAAGTTTTTAGGTAAAAATAATTACCTTAATTAGTGTTCCAGGTCTCTTAATTCCCTACCACAATCTTTGAGAAATTGATTGATATTGCTTTGGAACCAAAATGATTAAAACATTAACTTGGGGATAATCACATATTGTGATCTACAGAAATTCAGAATTCTCACATAATGAGAAAAGCTACAAAGACTCATGAAGCCCTTCTAAACTAAAACAGCAAGAGTGGATTTTGCTTACAATGAGTTTGTTGGCAGCCTCTTTAATCTTGTCCACTTTGGCTTCTGAAAGCCCTTTGACATTGCATAGGGCTCTTCTTGTTGTCATCTGTATCCCTTTGATGGTACAGATTCCTACTGACTTCAGTTTCTTAATGTCAGCCACGTTCTGTAAATGGAAGAATGGGCACAACAGATTTATAAAATGCCAGCCTAAAAGGTTCCCGTACTATGTATGTCATGTGCTTTTCTGTCCATCTCCTTCCATCATGATGCCAATTTTATACAAGCAACCAGGTGGAATACTGCTTTGATACTGAGTGCTTTGCAAGAGCCTTAGGTATATTTCAGAAGACAAGACAAAAGTAAGAAGGAGGATGGTAAAAAATATTTCCAAATGTTCTGGAAATATCTGAGTAGAACATACCCACCAGGCTGCCAAATGTTCTGGCTGTGCCCTGATTTCCCAAGAATGTTAGTGAGACAATGGCAATGTAACAGGGAACTCAAAAGAAAAGTCTGTTGGTGGAAAAACTAACAAATTTATCACACATTCACCCCCTCAGTTCAGTTCCTTCCTTCTACAGAACTTCATTATTAAAATGTTCTAAATTTTTTAAAGATTATTTTTCCTTCTGCCCCAGGAGAATGCAAATAAAAAGATCGCCAAAAGACAGAATTTTTTTTCCTTGCTTCTATTTTCTAAAATAGAAAGATTTAGAGGGCTGGGGTTGTGGCTCAGCAGTAGAGCGCTTGCCTAGCACATGCAAGGCCTGGGTTCGATCCTCAGCACCACATGTAAATAAATAAAATAAAGGTATTGTGTCCAACTACAACTAAAAAAATAAATATAAAAAAAGACTTTAGATAGGAGGCTCTCAAAAGATAACATCAGCAGAATTTTACTATCAATAATTACTGCTGAAATCCATCTAGTTTTAAGCCAGCCACCTGACAAACAGAATTAAATTTTGTGTTAATGGATAGAATAAATCTAGATAGATAAGAAAGATTTATAATGATTTTAGAGCAAGTTCTTAATACCTCCAATTGGATTAGTGGTTCTGAATGAGGGACAATTCTGATTCCTGGGTACATATGATAGTGTCTAGTGTTACAGCTGCAGGAGTGCTACTGGCATGAAATGAGTAAGTAGAGGCCATTTTTATGGAGTCATCTGGACATTACATGACCACAGCCATATGCAACATAAATGCTCCAGAATAATATCAGTTGTTTTTTTTTTTTCTGCATAATTTCCCAGCTTACCATAAACAGAACAAACCATTAGGGTGATATGTAGAGCTTTACAACTGTACCCTGGAATGTGTCTGACTTTTTGATATTAAAGCTAAGCCAGAAACATTACAGTTTGCATGAAGTCACTTTCATTCTAACCAAGTATATACCCTCCTTCTAACCTAAATTACAGATATCTACTTGGTCTTCCCAATGCCTGGGCTGTGCTTTCGTCAGTAATTCCCCCAGTATATTGCACTTAGCAATCCTGGATCTGCCCACCTCTTTGCTAGGATCTCATGGCACCTTGGGTGTCACACTGGGACCAGGTTGTTCTGGAATACCAAGCTTGTTGCTCAACACCCTACAAAGCACAGAACAACCCCTTGCCCCCAAATACACAAAGAATCATCCAAATATTTATAAGGCTGATGCTGGGAAACTCTGAATCGGACAATTCAACATGGCATTGAAAAACTACTTACAATTCCATGTTTCTGTAATAGGTCAATGTCTTGAAACAAAGATTCCTAAAGGAAATGGAACAGAAAAGAAAAAAATGGAGTTTTGATTCTTTGTATCCAAATGTTACATATTTTTTAAAGAGTTAATTGAATATTAGACCTATCCCAAAATGTCTCAAATTCCACTTTTTTAGGCAGATTGTGGTGGTATTGATAACATTTTTTCAAACACATCATTACATATTTAGAAGAGGCACCAACTTTGAAAGGTCTGCAAAGCCAATAACCTTTGCCACAGCTTCCCTAAAATTTTAAAACCTTTACCCAAAGCAGTGGAACATTTGACCCATTTTAAATGTTTTTGCAACATTCTTCCCCTCCAAATTTTGTTCTCCTTTTAGGACCAGACAGCTATTCAGTACCAATGTGCTTAGGCACCAGCATGGCCATACCAGTTAAGTTACTGAAATACTTTTGTACAGCAGGCTGGATGTGTATCTCAGTGGTAGAGCCCTTGCTTAGCATGCATGAGGGCCTGGGGTCTAGCCCAGAACTGCAAAAACAAAACAAACAAAAACCCTTTCAAGCCAGTTGCTAAGTAGTTAATGTTAACATCCCTTGCCAATCAAACTGTTCATATTTGTAATGCATAACTATGTCTTATTTCTACTGTTTCCAAATATAGTAGCTAAGAGACAAGGAACTTCATTTTGCGTGTGTGTGAAATGACTGAATATCTGTGTATCTTTCAACATATTTGTTATACCTCTTCATCTTGGAATCCTGGTTCTTCCTGTACAACTTGATCCTCTTTCATGTTGAGTCAATTCTGGGAAAATAAGAAATATTTTTAAAGAAGTAATTATAGTTCATAAAGTTAAAAAAAAATCCTCTGCTTAGAAGACTCTTTGATTTCATTTCAAAGTCACCAAAGACCAGGACAATAAAAGAAATGCTTTGGAAAAACTAGGCTGATCTATCTTTTCTACTGGGCTTATGGCATTATTTTGTATGGGGGGGGGGCATTGTGGAAGCTTAGTTTCTTCTTTCCTTAGCACTGTTCACTTTTTTATTGTCTTCCGATTTTCTATTGCAGTTAATGACTGAGGATATCTTTATTGTTTACTTGGAATGTGATTTAGAATTGCTTATTACTTTATTATTTGGTACCAGGGATTAAACCAAGGCTGATTCTGGGAAACTCTGAGCCACATCTGTAACCCTTTAAGTTGGGTAGGGCCTTGCTAAGTTGCTGAGGCTGGCTTTGAACTCACCATCCTCCTGCCTCAGCCTCCTAAGTCGCTGCAATTACAGGCAAGTGCCACCACGCCCCGCCAGAATTATTACTTTTAACTTTTTAGGCTTATGTTTAACAACACCCTAAGAACCTCAGTATTGTGCCTTTCTTCTTTGTATTCCTCACCACCTCAAACTTAAGACTACTCTCGATAAACAGGTTTTGTTTTTCTCATATATAATGAATGCCTTCCTGCTTAATGGTAGTGAATAGGAGCTCTGGTGACTGTTTCATAAATCATTTGCTATATTTTGCTTTGCAGTATTGACTAGTCTCATGATTTTGTAAAAGTGGATACCCCATATAAGGTTAGGGCTGCAGGTGTAGTGGGGCACACCTGTGAGTTAGGAAGATGGCAAGTTCTAGGCCAGCCTGGGCAACTTAGTGAGACCCAGTCTCAAAAATTACAAAGGGCTGGAGATGCAGCTCAGTGATAGAGCACCCCGGGGTTCAATCCCAGCGCTGGGCGGGGGTGGGGGGACTGGTAGGCAGTAAATAGCCTCCAGTTTAACACTGCAGATTTTTTTTTTTAAGTTATCAGGTTCTCTACAATAAAACCTGCCCCGAGTATAATTTTTCCAGGTCTCTTCCATTTCCTCGATGAACGGCAAAGTCAGGGGCTGGAGGCAGCGCAAAGTGGACCCGCGGCCACGGGGCGAACGAGGGAAAATGCGAGCGGGACCTTCAGCTGGCCATCGCGACTCCCAGGACGCCACGGACCGTCTCCACCGAGGGACACCTACCCCCCCCACACCCCCGTTCCTCCCATCTCACGGACAAAGGGCCCAGGACCGAGGTCCCCGCTGGCTTCCTGGCCGCCTCCCGCCCCGGGCCCCCCAGGAGGCCCGTGCAACTCGGCCCGACTCGACTCGAAACGCAACTGGAAGCCCCTCAAGACCCCTAGGTTCCCTCCCGGGCGTGGGGCGGGACCCCGTCGTCGGCCCAGGACCCGGCAACGACCGCCAGGGAAGGCCCACAAAGAGGCGCGCTTTCCGCACACCTTGCGTTTCCCCTCAGATTCTCCACACGCTTTCCCTCTCTGTCACTCGACGCCCCCCAAACCCACAGTCTCCACGAGGTTTTGACGGTGAGCCCCCCAGCTTAGGTTTCCCGCCTTCAGCTCAGAATTTAAACTCCGACCTAGAACGCCAGGCTGACGACCCGCGCGTAGCTGACCAAAAGGTTTAGCGCCAACTGGGGAGGGGGGGCGGCGCGCGCTCGGCGTGGGCGGGGCGAGGAGCGCGGGGCGGGGCGCAGAGGGCGTGGCCTACGATGGGCGGGTCAGAGGACCACTGGGCGGGGAAAGGGGCGGGCGGAGGGCAAGGGGCGGGAAGCAGGGGCTAGCGCTAGAGTAGCCTGCTGGGGGTGGCGCGCTGGGATGGGGCTGCGGCGACGTGAAGGAAGAGTGCTGAGGAGGGGTCTTGGTGGGAGGAGAGCGCTGGGCGTCCGGTGAGCTGAGGCAGGCTCAGGGATGGCGGACCTTGGGAATCGGGGCCGGGGTTGCTGAGTCAGGTGGCTGATGTGAGCGGGAGATGACCCATCGATGTCTACCATAATGGGGACCCTGGGCTGGGAGGTCGGATGTGGTGGTCTGTTCCCCACGGGCCACGGCTTTCTTCACTCCAGGCGTCCCATACCTGGCTTCGTACCTCCGTGTTCCTCAATTCCCTAACTCTCGGCACGTGCCACTCTTCTCTGTGATTGACACGCCAAAGGCCCATTCAAGACGGAGAGTGCTTTTTCTTTGTCCTGGCTTGAAGTTTTAAATAGAACATAGAAGACAAACATATTTTGATTCTGCCTTTAAATAGAAAATTTAGGCCTGCCTTCGTGCCAGCACAGCCAGCTCCTGCGGCCTCTTTCTTCTCCCCTTATGGGGACTGACTGGAGGAGCGTCATGAAACATTTGAAAAAGCATCTGCTGAGGTAGAGGTTGCGAAGAATCTTGGACGAGTATCTGTGCAGACAGTTCTTTGGGTACAAGACCTGGTAGAGGGCGGCCCTTTTTCTTCTGAATCATTTTGTTGAAATAAATAGCAAGCAATTCCCACAATCGCAGCCGTCATTTTGAACTCCCTCCCAGGTGGATTGTTTAAAGATTGTTTAAATAACTGCCGTTGCTTTTCAAAATCTGTTATTTTCCAGAAATACAACCTGTCCCTGTTATATGGAAATTAATGCCCATTTTGGAAGGAACTGGTTATGATAGGCTTTCACTCTGGAGTCCTCACCTAAAATAATTATAGTAAGTTTTGAGCAACTTGTGAGATGAAGACATCAACAGACTACAGAAGAGCTGTAAAGAGCACAGCAAGATGATTTAGGGAAATCTAACATATGTAGTTGGTGTAGTGACAGCTGGGAGAGAGAAATGTTCATAATATTTGAAGGTTGTGTGTAGTATACTTAAAGAAAGAAACTGAAGTGAGCTTGGTAATGACAAATTCATGAAGTGAGGATAGAATCTTGTTGGGGTATCATATTGATGGCTATATACAACTTTTAAAATATTTTAAAACAATGACAAGCCCTGGAGGAGTTAAAAAGTGCATGGGAAGTCCTTTGCAGTCAAATCAGGGCCAAAAATACATGAGTCTTTCATATCATACAAAAATTCTGAAAATGATGTAGGTGGCCTTTCAAATTAGTGGGGAAATGATGAATTCAGTGAATGGTGTTGGAATGACTAGGTAGCCATCTGGAAGGAAAATAAAATTGGAACCATATTTCACACCTTATATCAAAATAAATTCCAGATGGATCAAAAAATCTAATCTGAACAATATATTAATAAATGTACTAGAAGAAAATATGGGGAAGTTTATTATTTCATAGCACAAAAAAATCTCTTTAACCCAAAACTCTGAAACCATAAAGACATTGATAAATAACCATATACTATCAAATATATACATATATATATCATATATATACATATATACATATACATATATATTTAAATCCTTCATGGCAAAATGCAACTTTCCTACCCAAGATATGGAGCATGGCAAGTGAGAGGTTTCATGTTAAGTAGTAACTAGATAATACAGTTCACCTAATTTTTAAAAATCCTTCAGGGAACCCCAATTTCTCCAATTCTGTGTCATTTTTGTATTCTAAAAATAAGAAAACAGGCCAGGTATGGTGGCACATGCCTGTAATCCCAGCAGCATGGAAAGCTGAGACATGAGGATCACAAATTCAAACTAGCCTCAGTAAAAATGAGGCGCTAAGCAACTCAGTGAGACCCTGTCTCTAAATAAAATACAAAATAGGGCTGGGGATGTGGTGGAATGCCCCTGAGTTCAATCCCCAGTAACCAACACCCCCCCCCCAAAAAAAAAGAAAAGAAAAGGAGGCAGTGGGGATAATCATCAGTACCTGAATTTTAAACTATTACACTTTACTGCCCCTCTGTGGACAATCACCTTATAACCCATAAAGGCACATGATTCCAGTGGGTACAGTTAGTCTTCCTCAAACTGTTGCCTGTGGATTTACATTCTTGGAGTTTCAAGAGGTGAAATTTCAAAAATGCTTTGATAGAGAGCTAAAGGAGGAGCAGGACATGGTCGCACCTGCCTGTAATCCCAGAAGCTTGGGAAGCTGAGGCAGGAAGATCATGAATTCAAAGCCAGTCTCAGCAACTCAGCAAGATTCTGTCTCGAAATAAATATATTTTCAAAAATATATATTCAAAAAAATATATTTTTGAAAATATGTGGGGATGTGGCTCAGCGCCTCCATATACAAATAATCTATAATTTCTGTATAGAAATAATTTATACAGATTATTTCTTTTGTACCAATCTCTGGTACGGAAGAAAGAAAGAGAGAGGGGCGGGGGGAGGAAGCAGAGATTGTTATACACAAAGTGTCACTTGGTAGATCTTTTCTTAAACATGTTTAATTCATTCAGAAGATATATATTGATATGTATTTGTCAGGCATTGTGCTAGGCATTGGGTGCTAGGTTTAAATAACAAGATGCCAGCCCTAGAAAGGATCACAGACAAGTACAGAGGCAATCACAGGAAGTGCTACTGTCATGGCTTACCCTCAGAGTGGACCTCCATTGATCATTAATTTTCCATGAATATTTCCTTTTATATTAAAGGTAAAAATTTCCAGCCCCATCTCTCTCCAGAGGGGCAGAAATACTAGCTGCCCCTATTGAATTCCACTTCTTACATTTGGGGATTTTTCATTCCACACATGCACGGATGAACAGCTGTCTCATTACATTAAATTTTACTGAAAGCATAGCAGTAGATAACTTAAAATATAGGTAAGTTCAAGGCAGTTTTTAAAAGTTAACATTCAATTTTCTGAAAGTAAAAACACTTTAGTTCTTCTTAAGCCTTCAATAATATTTAATTGATAAATCTAATACATTTTAATAATTATTTCTAAGGGGAACTTTGATTAACATTTAATCAACTCAAATTTAACAGACCAAACTCCTTCAAATGAATGGTTCTATTTATATCAACTTAAATTACATTCTTTTTTTTCAGACTTAAGCTTGTGATCTT